ACAGGAGCTGGGCGGCCTCAGAGCTGTTGAGTGGGGCCCACGCCTTAGGGCCGTGCCCTCTGGGTCCTGCTAGAAGATGCCGCGTGGCAGTGGGAGGTGTAATATAGCCCCTCTGGGGGAAAGGCTTCCGGCTTCCAAACGCTTGCCTGTGTTAGGGCCATGGGGAGGGGGAGAGGTGCCTGCTGGGGACACGCGGGTCAGGCTCTGGCTTCAAACTCCATTGGAACCACCTTGTGGAACATCTGTGCAGCCACAGCACATAAAAATGTTTTCCTTCTGGCAGCCACTTTTATAAGGATGTAATAATATATGCAGTGCACAAATGGTTCTATTTTTGGTGGGTTGGTATTGCCAGCGAGCTGACCCTGACCAGGTGTGGAGGGGAGTGAGCAGGGGTGGGTGAGGGGGCTGTGGAAATATGGCCGGGTGCGCCGAGCCCTGTGCCCCTCACTCCCCAGGTGCCTTTCTCCTTCCCTCCCCAGCCCCTGCATGGCCATTTACGTGGGCTCAGCCTCTCTACCACAGGCTGAGGCCCGCTGTGTTCTGGGGAATCAGTCCGCTCCTGGGGACAGTGCTGCACACTGTAAGCCTTCTCCACCCAACCTCTTCTACCTTTGGTGGCCATGGGGTTTGGCCTGTTTGTTGGAAGGTGGCTCTTGATTCTGAAACACAAAGATAGGAACGAAGAGGCCAAATTGCTGATGTGACTGGACTTGCCCAGATGACCCAGGACCTTTGCCGACGGCCCAGGCCTCACTTTGGGCTGTTGGTGCCCATTTAAAATGGGGCCCACAGTGAGCCCCAAACCCTCATTCCTTCCCTAGGGTGGCCGGGAAGCTGCCGTCCACATGGAGCTGGGGAGGAGGAGAGACTCTGATTTGCTGGAAGGACCTCATTCATTTCCATCCGACCCCCAGGCTTCCCTGCCCGCAGAGCTGACTCCACCCAGCCCTGAGCCTGGGCACAGTAACCACCTCCACGTCGGGGAGAGCACACGGTCCCCGGGGGCCGGCAGGCAAAGTTCTTTTTGAAGATGGGTGGATGGAGCCCCCTCCCTCCTGAGGGTGCGCCCCAGCTCCTGTCCAGCAGACAGCCCACCCCATCATCTTGGCACCAGGGTTTTGCTAGTGGCAGATAAAGATGATGTTCCAGCAGACGCTCCAGTGCTGCCACGGGTGGCGTGTTTATTAGACCCGAAATGAGAACTGTCAGTCTCAAGTTCATGGGCACTCACTACTCCTGTTTTATGGAGACCTCCTGGAGTCTGAGGGTCGAGATTCCTCAGGATGACTCACCAGAGTGTGCCAGGACAGGTGGGAGCAGAGAAGCCGGTCTTTCTAGCATTTCTCTCCCTCTTTTCCACTAGTCCTCAGCAAAACAGTCTTGCCAGATCCAGGTGTCTGTTTTTCTGCAGAGATTTACTGTTATGACTTGGGAGGCAGCAGGTTCTGGACTGTTGCCCTCACCTAGACCCCCTCCTTGTCAGATGCCATCCGCTTTCTCAGACTCGTCGGTCTCCTGGACCACATTACTTTGTGAGCAGATGCCTGTCAGGGACAGCTCTATCAGAACAGACCGAGTCTAGCCCAATGAGCCATGATGTTCTCTCACTGCTCGGTCCCCCTCTGCCATCTGCAGTGACATAGGCTGGATCTGTTCTCCCGGAAGACAGCAGGCCTTCAGAGCCCTGCCAGATTCTCTTGGGTCTCCCCTAACCCACACACATCTCCCCCGTGCCCCCCCGAGGCCTGGATAGCCCTAGTTCTTTTCCATTTCTGGGTGTCAGGGTGTTCAGACCTTTTAAGCAGATGAACTCTAACTCATTCAAAACTTTTAAAACCCAGTGCCTTAGCAGGATACAGTGGCACGCGCCTCTAGTTCCAGCTGTGTGGGGGATTGCAGGAGTTCCTGTCCAGCCTGGGCAACGTAGCAAGACCTCGTCTCTTTAAAAAAAAAAAAAAAAAAATGCCCTAAACTGAATCCAGCCCTGCAGATGTAGCCAGGCCAGGACAGAACAGAGGGGAACCACTGCCTTCTCAAGCAAGCGGTGGGACCTGGCAGCTGCAGTGTCTTCATCATGCGATGGGGTGGGAACACCTCCCCTTATCTGGGCACAAGGAACACGGTCATTGATGCACCTTAAAGTTGCGCCAAAGCTTTCCTAGTAGCCACATCTCGTCTTGTCAAGCTTGAAATTCTCTAAAAACCACAAGTCTCTTCATAGGAAATGTTTGCAGGTCAGCAGTTCCCCATTTTGTACTCCATGAAATGCACCCTTTTTTTTTTTTTTTTTTTTTTTGAGAGGGAGTCTCGCTCTGTCGCCCAGGCTGGAGTGCAGTGGCCGGATCTCAGCTCACCGCAAGCTCCGCCTCCCGGGTTCACGCCATTCTCCCGCCTCAGCCTCCCGAGTAGCTGGGACTACAGGCGCCCGCCACCTTGCCCGGCTAAGTTTTTGTATTTTTAGTAGAGGCGGGGTTTCACCGTGTTAGCCAGGATGGTCTCGATCTCCTGACCTCGTGATCCGCCCGTCTCGGCCTCCCAAAGTGCTGGGATTACAGGCTTGAGCCACCGCACCCGGCCTGAAATGCACCCTTAAGCCTAAATATCTGACTTGAATTTGCCCCGGCACATTTAACTGGCATGGTGAAGTAGGAAGAGCAAAGGCGTTGGAATCTAACAGTGATTCTTGCATCTTTAAGCTTCAGTTTCCTTCTGTAGCTAGCCCAGGTTTCCGGGTTCTGTATTAACCCTGTGACCATCTAAACCCTTGACACAGTCGATAGGAAGCTGGTCATTCTCTCAGCCGGGCCTTTACTTAAGTCCTGGACAAACAAGTTGACCAAGGGCATGCAAAGACTGCCACAGGGTGCCCCATAATATATGCAGTGCACAAATCGTTCTATTTTTGGTGGGTCGGTATGGCAGTGAGCTGACCCTGACCAGGTGTGGAGGGGAGTGGGCAGGGGTGGGCGACGGGGCTGTGGAACTGTGGCCGGGTCCCCACCCCTATCGGCAGAGGCTCCATCCTCCCCTTCCTCTCAGCCACAGGTGCAGGATGGTAGACGAGAACTTGCCAGAAGGATGCAACCCTATTTAAGTAGTTGTGTTTTCTTCCAGCCCAGCATCCCCACCATTCTCGTGCAGGGCTTGTTCATAGTGAGCCTGGCTGGCTCCTCGTGATCTCTGACTTTAAAATGTGCCAGCACATAATTTTAATGATCCCATCAAAAATTGTTGTCTGGATCAGTTTCAAGCTAGCATTTCCTTGCAGAGGCCATTCTTCCTTTTTTGACAAAAGTCGGGTCGGCCAGGTGCAGTGGCTCACACCTGTAATCCCAGCACTTTGGGAGGCCGAGGCAGGTGTATCACCTGAGGTCAGAAGTTCAAGACCAGCCTGGCCAACATGGCAAAACCCCATCTCTACTAAAAATACAAAAAAAAAAAAAAAAAAGGAAAGCCAGGCGTGTTGGCGGGCACCTGTAATCCCAGCTACTAGGGAGGCTGTGGCAGGAGAATCACTTGAACCCGGGAGGCAGAGGTTGCAGTGAGCCGAGATTGTGCCATTGCGCTCCAGCCTGGGCAACAAGAGTGAAACTCCATCTCAAAAAGAAAAAAACAAAAAAAATAGACAAAAGTCAGGTCAGCCACTGCCGCCCCCCAGTGTCAAAGATTGCAGTCACAGGTCAGGTCTGCCCCGACCCTGCAAGCCTGATTGTTTAAAGTGACTTGGTTCTTTCCTGCCCTCTGCTCACCCCCTTAACCAGGTTGGTTCCACCTTTCGCAGCCTGAAAGTCGATCTCCCTGATGAGGAGAAGTAGAAATAGGTGAGAAGCAACAGAGCCGTACCCTCTGAGACAGGATCTCCCCCCAGCCTCCACCCGTCTCCTGGTTCCAAAGAGAGGAACCCGCCTTTTGCTGGTTTTTCTTCTATGGGCCTGAACTCATTTTGAACTCTACCCTTTCTGATGCTGTTCTTTTCTTCCTCTTTCTTTCTTTATTTCAGCTTCCACATTTTATTTCAACATCAGTCATGGTAGCTACAGATTCTTACTTTCAGTGTAGTAACATTGAGCATTTATGTGCCTAGCACTCTTCCAGGCACCCTGTGAGTTATGAGACAGGCACATCTCTCCTTAAAGAATTTATATTCTTGTCAGGGAAATAAGGCTTCAGATAAGAAAAAATTGGAGGGAAAGTGCCGAATTCCTTCTTCCCTAACCTGCCTCCATTTCCTCCCTCCTCCAAGTGGAGATGATTGGGTGCAGAGCCAGTTCTTCCTGGGCGTGGGAAGAGGAGATGGGGCTTGAGTGCTGCCGCCCCCCTCATCACCTCAGTCTGTATTGAGACTCTCACTCAAACTCCCCTCACAGAGTAGAACAAACGGGCCCTGGTGCGAGGAAGGGTTTAACCCAGGCTCTGCCATTGCCACCTGCATGACTAGGGTGAGCCACTGAATCCCTGTGGCCTGGAGTCTCCGTCAGAGGTTGTCTGTCCTTCCCCGCGAGACCGCAGCAGATGGCACCCCAAAGCCACCATTCGGGAGCGTCAGGGCGCAGCAGCAGCCCGGGAGCTTCCCCTGCAGTGTCAGGCCCTGAACCCAGGGTGGACGGCCTGGCCTGGGCCTGCCAGTAGAGGCCTGAAGACAAACCGAGCGAGTCTTCTCCAGTTGGCTCGGGTGAGCCGGTGTCTGTCAAGAGCCTCTGCCTTTGCCCTCCCTGCTGTGGCTCTGGGCATCTGCCTGCTCTACCATGGGCAGCAGCAAAATCTTCTCCCTTGAAAGTGGGGGCCCTGGGCTTCTGCCGGCTGGGCTCTTCATGGTCTGAAACTGAAGTCGGTTTGTGCTTCAGTTCCCAGGCTGCAAAAGTGGCCTTGTCATACCTGCAGCTGGCTCCACGGTGGGAACAATAGGCTCTTTGCAGACCGTGGAGATGGGCTGGGCTGTCTGCCGTTCTCAGAAAGCCCCGGCTTTCTCTGACTTGGAATGTTTCTGTCTTTTGCAGATGGAGAAAGATGAAACTGTGGGTGACTGCTCCCCACACATAGCCAACATCGGGCGCCTGGTAGAGGTGAGTGGCCGGGGCTCTGGCTGGCTCCTGTGTTGGCCCACGGCAGTGACACTGCACCCCCGGCACCGCTGTGCTGGCCTCCTTCTCTGCTGCTTTCTCCCAGCTCCACAGCAGCCGGCAGAGCGCTGCTTGGATTTTGCCCTGGCCTCATATTTTCGGAGCCTCTGATTTGGATGCCAGCAGGCTGTGGCTTCAGGGCCACCTCCTGCTCCCCCCCCGACCCGGGCTCCCAGAAGACTCTGCTCAGGCGCTGGCTCTGGGGCGCACTAGGTCTTGTCTCCCCTGATCGCCTGGGTGTGAACAGGGCCCTGCGCTGGGAGAGGAAGCAGATGCCAGAAATGCCAGTGGGCCCTGGAGTGGCTTCAGTTGCGGCTGCCTTGGCCCTCCTGTCACCACGTTGTTTGGGAAGGCAGGGAGGTGCTCTCCGGTTTCACAGAATTGTTCACAAAATTAGTGGGGAGTCTGAGGGGCAGTGATGTGGTTTAGACCAGCTCCCAGGCATGGGCAGAGTTGGCCGCCAATACCTGGGTACTGGCTTCCTCCCTTCCTGAGGACGGGAAGGCGCCTGGAGCACAGATGGCAGGTGGGGTCTTGGCAGCCTGGAGCCCGCTCACCCGTGCCCCAGAGCAGGTGTGTGCTGCCCTCCAGTGGCCATAGTGGGGACTGCAGGGCTGGCGGGTGGAGAGAGGGCGTTGGCCTCAGGGTTCCTGACCATTTGCCAAGGCGCTGACCGACCTCCCTTCCAGGACATGGAAAATAAAATCAGAAGTACGCTGAATGAGATCTACTTTGGAAAAACAAAGGATATCGTCAATGGGCTGAGGTAATGTACCAGAAAGCACACGCTTTAGAAGCAGAAAGAGGGGTTTGAACCCTGGCTCTGCCAGTTACTAGCTGTGTGGTCTTGGGCCTCGGTTTTCTCATTTTCAGGCTGCAGTGCCCCTCTTCTAGGATGATCATGATGGTGATTTTGGAAAGTAAAGTCCTGGTGTGTCATCTGCACTCTCAGTAGCAGCTGTCGGTCCCTACCTGTACCGTTTTCTGGGGCACGTTCACCCTAGCAGCCATTGGTACCCTTGCCCCCAGAGCCTCCTCAGCCCTGCAGTTTGTCAGTCCCCACTCAAAAATCTGCCCAGCCCCTCCAGCCTGGGCCTAGGGGAGCCATGACACTACATCCCAGGCAGCCCGGCCGCCTCTGGCTGGCCTGCTTTCCGAGACAGCAGAGCACAATGTGCAGGCAGGGCCCTCAGCCCGGGCCTTCTCAGGGGGCCCCCAGCCTCTCTGACGTCCTCTGCCAGGGCTCTGCTACCAGTGGCCAATGTCCTGCACTGTCCCACCCACCTCGTGCCCTCGTCTCTGCAGTGTCAGCCTGAACAAAAGCTGGGGGCTCTCTGGACCCTCCAGGTCCATGGTGGACAGAGCAGGAGGCAGGCCTCTGACATGAGGCCAGAGCCCAGCTGGGGGCAGTAGACAGCTGTGGAGTGAGCACTGGCCTTGGAGTCAGGAGGCTGGGATCTCCCCTAAGCTCTGTCATCCTGAGCTGTGTGGCCTCTGGCACTCCTCGAAGAGGCCCTTGTCCGATGGAGGAGGCAGGGTCGGCTGAGATGGTGAATCTAGAACACGCTCTGCAGTCCAGCAGCACCATGTGAGTCGGGCCATGCTATGCCCTTAGCAGCCAGCCCTCTCACCCACTGCCGTGACATAGCTCTCACAGCCCAGCCCAGAGGAGAGGCAGGTTGCAGTTCTGTTGCTGCACCAGCTCATGGACTGGGGTGGGTGACAGATTTCAGTCGCCTGCTTTACAGTTTTAAAACAGAGGAGTCCTCCTCTTTGGACCCTGGTCTTCTGATCTCCTGCCCACCTGGGGGAGGTTTGGTCTTCATGACCTGTGACAGGGTCAGAGCCCAGTGGTCCGTGGTGTTAGGCCTGCCACCTGCAGCCACTGCCCAATACACCAAACGCACTTTCCCGCCCAGCCAACCTACACAGTCCCCAGGCAGTGGCTGGGAAGTGGGGGAGAGAAGCGGAAGAGCCTATGGGTGGTGGTGGCGAGCCCCTGAAAACCACGGCCACCGCCAGCGTGGGCCTCTGCAGCGGTGATACCACTCTACAGCCCAGAGCCGCCGCGGCACCCCCCTTCCGCCTCGTGGGTCTCCCTGAATTTCCTCCTCAGCTGTGGCCCCCTGCGTTCCTGGCTTCTCGTGGTTCTCTTCCCTCCCACTCCACTCATCTTGAACACTCTCTGTAGATCTATTGATGCTATCCCTGACAACCAAAAGTTTAAGCAGTTGCAGAGGGAGCTCTCTCAAGTGCTGACCCAGCGCCAGATCTACATCCAGCCTGATAATTAAGCCGATCCAGGTACCCTGCCTGAGAGCCGCGAGACCCTCCCCACTAAAACAGGACTCACCAACCCGCCGAGACCCTGCCGGTCCGGCTGCTGCTGCGCGGCCATTTAAAACACCACTAACCCCCACGTGTGCTCCCGGCCGGTGCGCAGCCGCATTCCCGTGTAGCCGCGGCCCTGTGTAACACGGCACCTATCACGTGTGTGCGCTTTCCACTCTGGGCGGAGGTTGGGTGTGGGGAAGACGGCTGATTTTTTGGCTTTTGCTTCTGAAAAAACCCAGGCCAAGGGACGGATGCTGCCTCTCCAGCAGCAGCCCCTTGTGTGCACCGGCCTGACTGTCCCCAGGGCAGGGGTCTGCGTGCTGTCCACTCCCCATGCTTCAGAGGAGCCTCGGATGCTGGTGCAGGGATCCTAGAAGCCATATAAGCCCCTGCTCAGCGGTACACTGGCTGTCCAGGGCTAGCTGGCTTGGAAGGGGTGACCTCCGCTCTGATCTCGGAGTCTCTGGGGTTGGAGGGCAGAGTCAGGGCTGGACTCCACCCCGGCCGGCCCCGATGCTCTGCTGGAGCTGCCTGGACGCCCAGTGCAGACTCGGCCTCAACCAGCATAACCTTCCGCCCCTAACGAGCTGCAGCTGTTCCTTTAAACAGGTTCTGCGGATGGAAAGGAAAATAGTCTTGCTTGTTGGTAATGGCCAAGAACCATGACTTGAGCTTGTGACAGATCCAGATGTAGGGAAGGAGGCAGCATCCCTGGAGAGCAGGAGGGAAACTTGTCTGTAAAAGAAGGCATTTGGAACCCTGCCAGCTGGGGCTGCAGAGTCCAGGTCCAGGGGCTCCACACTGAAGGCCCACCCCAGAAGGGGTGCAGCAGGCTTTCCAAGGTGGAGGTGGGGGTCAGGCACTTAGAAAACCAGGCGGAGCTGCTTTTCCAAGGCCGTGGGACTTAAGTGCACCAGTCTAGTCTGTGTGTGCCAACTTAAGGCCCAAGACTCCGGTCAGCCTCACAGTGGGGCCATCAGGCATTTCCATCGTGGCATTGAGAAAAAACCCTTTTTAAGGTACACTGTGATGGTGCAGTTACCTGGCCGCCCACTGGGGGCGTCCTGGCGTAGAAACCCTGACAGCCAGGTCTGCTTAGGACGACTCCTCCCTCCCACAGAGGCGAGCTCTGTCTCCAAGCGCTGATTCGAGGGTGCTTGGCCGTGACCTTCCCAAGCTCTGTCCCTTAAATGAGCCCCCTGCTCCTTCCGCCTTCCACCATTTCACTTCTAACTTCCTGTGTCTAACTTGATTCTGGCTCTGGAACTTTCTCCTTTGTGCAGTCCAGCCAAGACCTGATGGGCTTGGCTCTTCCTTCCCAGAAGAGCCAGTGACCACCCAGGCTAGGGGTCTTGTGCGCTGCTGCTTTGCCCACCGCATCTCCTGCTGGCCATGTTGACCTCCCGCTGTGAGCTTGGCAAGAAGCCCCTGGGGAATCGGCTGAGATTTGGAGCCTGAGGGTCATGAGGGCTGATGCCTTTGGCTGCTGCAGAGCCAGGGACAGTCCTGGGAAGATACTCAGAAACGTGTAGTTCCCCAGCATGAACCAAATGTCCGCGTTTCTCCTGGGAGTTTTCTCAGTTGTATGCAGCTTGCTTCCAGGTCTTGTCTGTGGCACCTGCTGAGTATTTTGAGGGCTCTTCCTGTGACTTGTAGGGATTCAGTAGCCGGAACTCAATCTGGGTGCTGTTGCTTCTCCTGGGCCCTGCTTCACTTCTATTTACCCATTTTTGCATTTGGGGACTGATTTTTCTGATTCTTCCTTCCCATGGCTGGTGTGAATCAAACGTGAGAGTCCAGCTGAGTGCACCCTCCGTAGCACTCTTGGGCAGCCCTCTACCCACTCCTTCCACTGCTTCTAAACTGTTATAAAACCCACTTTTAGGAAGTCATTGCCTAACCAATATGTTGGGTAAATTTGACAAAATGATCAAAGAATTGCTAGCGGGCATTCCTCTGGGCCTCAGTTTCCGGATCTGTAAATTGGATTGATAGCTTTTTTTTTTTTTTTTTTTTAAAGCCTTGACTTTGCTCTTTTTTGTTGTTGTTGTAGAGATGGGGGTCTCACTGTGTTGCCCAGGCTGGTCTCGAACTCCCGGCCTTAAATGATCCTCCCGCCTTGGCCTTCCAAAGTGCTGGGATTATAGGCTTGAGCCACCACATCTGGCTGGGTTGATAGTTGAGACTACCCCAGGATGCCCGTAAGAATTAAATGAGATAATATATGTGAAAGGCGTTTTGTAGACTATGAAATCTCCACAAGCCTTCATTGTTTCTGGCTTTGTTGATGAGTGTCCCCACACATACGTGAATGCAGTCACCTTGAACGTTTCCCCACAAATCCAGAATTTGACAGCAGGGATCCCAGGGGCACTTGGCTCTCCTGTGCCGCCCTTTGCAGTCCAGGCTGAGGGGTTTTCTGGGCCAAGTTAACAGCGGGTGGTACCTCACAGCAGAGGCCTGAAGCACCTGCTGCGTGAGCCTTGAACACGGTGTGCTCAGAAACAGAGACACTGGTTCCTACCCACTGCCAGGGCTGGGAGAACTGCTGCACCTTGCACTTGTGGGGTGAGGAATGAGGCTCTCCTGCTGGGCAGGGCCTGGGCAAGGGGGAAGCTTTTCTAGAGGAACCCGCATGGCGCCAGAGCCCTCACGTCTTAGCCCCTGGCCTGAGTCCCCAGCCAGCAACCCAGGGTAGCTGTTCTGAAGCAGAGGGACTTTGTTCCATTGTGCTTGGAAGCCCAGAAGCCACCTTGTGGCTTAGGGTGACATGGGGATCTACACACAGAGGAGTGAACTTAGGGTTCTAGTGACTATGGCCGGGTCACCGGCGGCCAGGGGCAGAGATGAGCACCTGTCCATGTAAGGCATATGCCACCCCCCCAGGGCCTGGCAAGGTGCAGAGGGTGCAGGTCTCGGCCATGTGCCCCTTCACCCCTCTCTGAGAGGGGCAGATGCCCAGCCCAGTGACCCAGAGCCTCACCCCGGGAGGTGGGTCCATGCAGCAAACCAGCCAGGCACTGGCATGGTGGCCCCCAGGCCCCCACCGCCTCACCAATCCCTGTTCAATCTGTTGATAACGCCTTTCCTCCCTTGCAGGTCTGTGCAGACTTTTGCAGACAAATCAAAACAAGAAGCTCTGAAGAATGACCTGGTGGAGGCTTTGAAGAGAAAGCAGCAATGCTAAACCTCTGCTTCATGCTAACCAGACACGCCGTGCACTCGTTAGATTCCTTTCTTAGAAAACTCGTTTTCTGCTCCCTCCCCTCGTCCCTTCCCTCCCCGACAGGTCACATAACAGCTGCATCATTGACTGCACAGCGCCATCTCTCCCTGAGAATAAAGCCGATAGCCACCCTCCTCCGGCTCCGAGCCTGCTTCCGCCACACCTCGCTCTCAGCTCTCTCCACATTTCCATAGAGACCATGTGGTTTTTGTTCACCCGGGCCCCCTGTCTTCCTCCCCGTCCCCCCATTTATAGGCATAAAATCCACTGTCTGCCAGCCTTCCTTCCCTCCCACCTTTTTGTTACATTGGTGTAAAAAATGTAAAACAAAAAAATTTTATGAACTAACTGTGGTGTGTGAAAGAGAGAAGAAAAACTGGAAATCTTATTCCGTGTGTGTTTGGGAGTTGCTTGGGGTTGGGGGTCGTGGGGACAGGGGACAGCTCTGGGAGCAGAGGTGGCCCTCGGTGCCGTCCTGCGGAGACTCGCCCGTCCCACGGAGGCCGTGGGGTGGGGGCTGGGGGGGGCCGCCGACAGTTCCGCTCTTCCGGCCAGGTGCTTTTCTGTCAATTTCTATGGAATGCAAAAGGAGGTTTTTGTTTTATTTTGTTTTTTTGTAAAGCTTAAGAAAAAAAATCTACATCTTATACTTGAGCCTCCATACTTAAAAAAAAAAAAAAAAAGAAAAAAATTAATAAAAAAGAAACTGGGACGCAGTTAGCGCTGGCCTTCTGTGTTCCTTCTCGCCGGCCTCACTTTCCAAGCGCGTGTGGCCGTGGCTGCGCGCTGGCTCCAAGCGGGGACGTGTGTGGGCCCTGCTCACAGCAGCAAGGAAGTGTCCGGTCCCCGGCCCCGCCGCCCTGAAAACACACCGGGCATGTGATGAGGTGCAGGGTCCCTGTCCCTTTCCGCTCTCCGCCGTTGGAGGCCACAGGCACCAGCAAACACTGTGTTCTGGCGCTGCCCCACACGCCTCCCACCGCCTTCCCACTGTGCCTAGTGCAAATGCGATGCAGCCGAGGCTCATTTGCCGTAATTCAGCCAAGACGCACAGAGCACAGAGCCAGAGTCTGCCTTCTCCCCTCCAAAATGCCCCAGGGAAGATTTGAAGCAAATCTCAAAGTCCCTGCCGATACCACCCCCCATCTGTCCGTGGCCAATCAGCGGGCTCCACATCCTGGCCAGCCCATCTGTTTGAGGTCCCTGGCTCCTGGGTCTGATGCAGCACCTTTTTTTTTTTGAGACAGAGTTTCACTCTTGTTGCACAGGCTGGAGTGCAATGGTGCAATCTCGGCTCACCGCAAGCCTCCGCTCCCGGGTTCAAGCGATTCTTCTGCCTCAGCCTCCTCGGTGGCTGGCATTACAGGCATGTGCCACCACGGCCAGCTAATTTTGTATTTGTAGTAGAGATGGGGTTTCTCCATGTTGGTCAGGCTGGTCTCGAACTCCCGATCTCAGGTGACCCGCCCGCCTCAGCCTCCCAAAGTGCTGAGGTTACAGGCGTGAGCCACTGCGCCCGGCCGTTGCAGTATCTTTATGGAGTGCAAGTACCATGGCATACAGAGAGCACAGAAGCCCCTGCCCCCTGAGGTCCTAGTGCCAGGTGGAGAACACAAGCAGGCTCCAGCCATGGGCCATGAGGAGACGCACCCAGCGAGCCACTCCCCATGGGCACACGGGTGCTGCAGCCTCCGGGTCATGTTAGCAAGGTGCCTAGCACACAGAAGGGCCCAGCGAGCCATTCCCCATGGGCACACGGGTGCTGCAGCCTCCCGGTCATGTTAGCAAGGTTCCTGGCACACAGAAGGGGCTGGGAAAGCAAACATTTTGCTTTTCATTTTCTTTCATGCTAAAGTTTTATCCAGGGCCATCAAGGTAGGGACAGGGGCCACTGCAGTGGGGTCTTGCGGATGGGGAGAGAGAGAGAGCTCAACTCTGAGTGCAGCAGCACGGGCAGCTGGGGATTAGAGCCGAGGAGCAGGGCAGGGCAGTGGGTGGAAAATGACTCAGAGGAAGTCTCAGGGGTCAGGGGCCTTCTGGCCAAACACCCCTAACAGGATTCTTGCTGAAGACAGGCCAGGGTGACCAGACATCACCTGGGGGCGGGGATGGAAGATGAGGCCAGGTGCAGTGGCTCACGCCTACAATCCCAGCACTTTAGGAGACCAAGTTGGGAGGATCGCTTGAGCCCAGAGGTTCGAGACTAACCTGGGCAACATAGACTCCATCTCTACAAAAAACACAAAAATTAGCCAGGCGTGGTGGTGTGCACCTGTGGTCCCAGCTACTTGGGAGGCTGAGTTGGGAGGATCACTTGAGCCTGGGAGGTTGAGGCTGCAGTGAGCCAAGATCGTACCACTGTACTCCAGCCTGGAAGACAGTGAGATCCTATCTCAAAAAAAAGAAAAAAAATGTCAAGGATGGGCATTCTTGTAAAATTGACTTAGCAAGGGATTGCTGAAACTGGGTTTTACAAGGGCCCACAGGTGGGCCTATGGGAAGGTTCAGGAGCCTGAGTAAAGTTTGGCCAAGCAAATAATCTTTGTCAGTTGTCACTTCAAGAAGAAACTGGACAAACGGAAAATACCTCTCCTTGGTGAGGTCGCAAGGGAAACAGCCGCCCTGAAGTCAGTGAGACAGGCTCACCCGGAGAGTCACAGCAGAGGCCTGCCCTCCTGCAGCAGAGGCCGCCAGGCCGGGAGCTCCTGTGCACACCAGTGGCAATTCGCAGAGCTGCTGAGGTGGAGTGGACTGACTCACCTGAGAGTGACCCCCCGAGGCTCAGGCCCGCTCTCCTCTCAGGGCATTTCCCTTCAGGAAACCAGCTGCTCCTTGCGCTGTCGCCTTCATCAGCCGTACAATCCTGGGACCAAAAATCATGCTTGAAACCCAGAAATTGTGACTGTGATGTATGCCAGGCCTGATCTTGCTCTGCTATCTGGAATCTTCCACAGGGACCCTCACTACCAGTTGGGTTTTTTTGTTTATTTTTGTAGAGACGGGGTCTCACCCTGTTGCCCAGGCTAGTCTCAAACTCCTGGCTTCAAGCGATCCCCCCACCTCGGTCTTCCAAAGTGCTAGGATTACAGGTGTAAACCAACACGCCCAGCCCTCATTGCTAGTGTTGTTCTGTTTTGTTTTGTTTTAGGATGGAGTCTTGCTCTGTCACCAAGGCTGTACTGCAATGGCGTGATCTCGGCTCACTGCAACCTCCACTTCCCAGGTTCAAGTGATTCTCCTGCCCCAGCCTCCCGAATAGCTGGGACTACAGGTGCCCGCTACCACACCCAGCTAATTTTTGTATTTTTAGTAGAGGCAGGGTTTCGCCATGTTGGCCAGGCTGGTCTCGAACTCCTGGTATTACAGGTGTGAGCCACCACACCCGGCCCTCACTGCTAGTGTTTTGATGCTAAATTCAGCTGGTGAGATTGGGGACAGTGGGCCTCAAGGGTGTGTTTTGGGACCCTCTCCCACCTCCTGGCCATGCCTTTCCCTGCTCATTCCTTGGCTGCCTGGTGGGGAAAGCTCTGGGGTCCAGCAGGGCACCTCAGGCATCCCTGAGAAGAGAACAAAGGCGTATGGGAGTCCCTGGGGCTCGTGGGCTGCAGGCGACAGACTCCTGGGGTTTGGCGGCAGCAGAGCTGTCCCCCACCCCAAGGGCTCACTAGATGCTTCCTGGAGGTCCCCTTGGTGCCAACTAACAGAAGGGGAGGCAGCATTGGTGAGGGTCTCTCCAGGGCTGAGGGCTTAAGTGAGTAATCCAGGGGGTTCCCTGTCTCTCTGAAGCCCTTTCATTCCTCCCTTGCTTGGCCTTAACAAATCAGCCTCCGGAGCCGTTTTTTTGTTGTTGTTTGTTTGAGATGGAGTTTCGCTCTGTCGCCCAGGCTGGAGTGCAGTGGCGTAATCTCGGCCCACCTCAACCTCTGCCTTCTGGGTTCAAGCGATTCTTCTGCCTTAGCCTCCCAAGTAGCTGGGACTACAGGCACGCGCCACCACTCCCGACTAATTTTTGTATTTTTAGTAGAGAGAGTGTTTCACCATATTGGCCAGGCTGGTCTCAAACTCCTGACCTCGTGATCTGCCCGCCTCGGCCTCCCAAAGTGCTGGGATTACAGGCGTGAGCCACCGTGCCCGGCCTTTTCTTTTCTTTTGAGACAGGGTCTCACTCTGTCGCTCAGACTGGAGTGCAGTGGTCTTACTGCAGTCTTGAACTCCTGAGCTCAAATGCACCTCCTGCCTTGGCCTCTCAAAATGCTGGGATTGCAGGTGTGAGCCACTGCGCGTAGACTGAAGCCTTTCCTGAGGTTCTCCTGGGGCCCCAAGTTCAAGACTCCTAGTCTCCAACATTTTCTCCCGCATTCAGGTTACTTTCTAGGTGACTGCTTTGTGGCAGGCCCTGGGCTAGTCATGCCCGAAGGTGTGGCACCCTCTCAGCAGGTGAGGTGGAGCAGGCATTGTGGATTTTACTAGGTGGGACAGCTCCTCTTTTTCTGGTGCCAAACCACCTCCATGGCACCTCAGCACAATGCACTCAGGACCTTCCTTCCTCCCCTGTGCGTGATCCACACTGGGACAGAAGACGTTCTGTCTTGGCCAGGTGTGGTGGCTCACGCCTGTAATCCTAACACTTTGGGAGGCCGAGGCAGGTGGATCGCTTGAGCCCAGGAGATCGAGACCAGCCTGGGCAACATAGCAAAACCCCATCTCTGCTAAAAATACAAAAAATAGCCAGGGTGATGATGCACGTCTGTGATCCCAGCTAGATCGGGAGGCTTAGGCACGAGAATCACTTGAATCCGGGAGGCAAAAGTTGCAGTGAGCCATGATTGTGCCACCGCACTCCAGCCTGGCAAACATATCACGGCTGTCTCAAAAAAAAAAAAAAATGCCTCGTTTCAAATAGTATAAGTTAAATACTGTAAATTAAATATCATGTAAGTTAAATATGATAAAACATTTCAATTTATATTTTTCTTGATAAAATGTTGCAAGATGTCACTATATTCTCATTACCCATAGCTTCCTATCCAAATCTTAATACTCAATGGCACATTTGATATTTTTTCAAATGGCTTTGAGATATAATTCGTATACCACACAATTCTGTAGTTCTGTAGTTGTTGGTTACACCCACCAGACCGAGGGCTCCCCGAGGGTTGGTGCCTCAGCTTTCCCTTCACTTACTCATTCACTGAACATTGAGCACCTACTGAGTACTGGGGTTATGATGGCAAACAGGGGACAGTCTCTGCCTACTGTTTAGTGGGGGTGGAGTACTTAGTAACCGTCGTCATTATTGAGTGGTTACCTATGCTGGGCACAGTGCTGCTACTGGGTGACTGTGTCCCCAGGGCTGTCCCAGGCTGGGGGCCTGAAGCAGTAGTTATCAGCTGAACTGAGTTAATCCACAGTGGAAGGTAACCCAGTCCCTGCCCTAGGGCAAATGCTGAGCAGATCCAGGTTTTCCTGTGTTGTTGTTGGGTTTTTTTGTTCGTTCGTTTGTTTTTGAGACACGGTCTCTGTCACCCGGGCGGGAGAGCAGTGGTGCTATCTCAACTCACTGCAGCCTTGACCTCCGGGGTCCAAGCAATCCTCCCACCTTCCCACCTCAGCCTCCCAGGTAGCTGGGTCTACAGGTGCACACCACCACGCTCAGCTAAAGCTTTTGTATTTTTTGTAGAGACAGGGCTTCACCACATTGCCCAGGCTGGTCTCGAACTCGGCTCACGCAATCCACCTGCCTCAGCCTCCCAGAGTGCTGGGATTCCAAGCGTGAGTCACCTCGCCTGGCCAGTGGATCTGTTTAAAGCTCTACCATCTGTGGTAGTTGAGGCTCTGCACCTGGCTGTCACCCAGCACCTCTGGGGTCCCCATCGGAGCCATTCAGCTCCAATGAAAGCCAAGTCAGACAGAAAGGGTGGGGAGCGGTGGAGGCTGAGGCCTTCTTCCCTACCTCAGCTTCAGGAATGGAAGGCCATGTTGTCCTGGCTGTGGCTTCAAAAACCTGGAATCCCAGCAAATTTGGGAGGCCGAGGTGGGAGGATTGCTTGACCTTAGGAGTTTAAGAACAGCCTGCTGGGCAACATGGCGAAAACACATCTCTACCAAAAATACAAAAATTAGCTGGGCGTGGTGGTGCATGCCTGTGGTCCCAGCTACTTGGGAGGCTAAATTGGGAGGATCACTTGACCCCAGGAGGTGGAGGCTGCAGTAAGTCAAGATCGTACCACTGCACTCCAGCCTGGGCGACGGAGTGACTCTGTCTCAAAACAAAAACAAAAAAACCAGGTTTGATAACCAATGGGACCTTGGGGCTGGGAGAGCCAGGGAGGGCATGGGGTCCAGTGCCGAGCACGGGGCTGACAGGACCATCCCTTCTGCTTTGCTGGAGAATGCCACCAACTGAGAAACCAGCTTTTCTGTCCCATCCCATCCCCGGAACCTGAGGAAGCAAAGCAGCTGGGCCAGGCACTGCGCATGTCACTTCCCCACACAGTGTCTCGTTCAACAGGTAAAACAGAACCTGCCAAGGCGGGGACCTCTGGGGGTGCCTGGCCCAGCCTCATGCTCCGTGTGGGCGTCCTAAGGGAGCCAGCCCTTCCTGGACAAAGGCAACTGGTTAGCATAGTTCCATTTCCTTGACCACACCAAAACATCCACACTTTTCCCTTCAGGCCACACCTGGAGATGAGCATCCTACCATCCCGTGGCCTGCAGGAAGGAGCAGGAGGTGTGAGCCAGGGAGAAAGAAACGCCACTTGCGGAGGCGTTTAACTTGGTAACACGTTTGCCATCAGCAACCATGGCCCCATCAGTATGGCAGAATCCCATTGATTAGATTCACCTTTATTGTAATTTTTTAAATTTTTGTAGAGATGGGGTCTTGCTATGTTATCCAAGCTGGTCTTGAAGTCCTCGGCTCAAGTGATCCTCCCGCCTCAGCCTCCCAAAGTGCTGGGATTACAGGCGTGAACCACCATGCCGGGCCTTGGCCCTTCTCTTTGGGAGGAACCTGGGGGAGGCTCCAGGCATTGGTAAGCCCCCTGGTGACAAGCAAATAGAGCCATTGTTTATTTAGCAGGCACTTACTGTGTGCCAGGTGCCGGGACACGAGCCTCCGTGCTCATCTTGATCACGGCTCTGTTCTGAGGCAGGCGGTGTTATTGGTCTCATGGGATGAAGAAACGGCTTCAGATGTCTGCTCAAGTCACAAGGCTCACGGTGGCTGGGGCACACTCGGAGCTCAGTGTGCAGGACACAAAGTCTGTGCTCCCTGCCACCTGCCTCCAGCATCTGGATGTCACCAGCTCCTTCAACAGGGCTCCAGGCACCCAGGCCACCAAGTTCTTCCAGCCCCAGCAGTTTGAATCCTACTTGGGGCACCGGAATGAGGCCTCCAAGGGAGAGGAGACTCAGGTTTGGATGAGCTGCAGGCCAGCTGCCCTCTGAGGGTAGGGGCTGTATTGCCTCCATCACACAGGGCACTCCCCAGGGGGAGGAAGGAACCATAGCTCCTGCCCGAAAGTGCTATCACCCCAAAAGCTGGTGTTTCCCAGGAGGAAGGGATTACATCAGCCCATCAGACAAGGGCCTCCACACAGGGGCTGTGTTATCCCGTCTCACTCTTCCCCACCCAGCACCAGTTCAGGCCCACACATGGCACTCATGTGGCCATATGGTGCCCCCAGATCTTCAGGCTGAAGGGGCACCTACTGGTCCCAGGTAACTGGGGTGGAGCCAGGTCCCAGACCCAGGTGGAACAAGGCATCTGGCTGGCACCTGAGGCTGGCACCTGTGGCAGGCACAGGCCAGGGCAAGCGGGGGCTGGGGACCTGGGGGTAACTTATCCTGAAATCTCAGCAGGGCCAGAGGCTCAGGAAAGTCACTATTCAGGATGGTGAGAAGGGAGCCTGGGCCCAGCAGGGTTCGGGCCACTCCTGAGGGTGAGGCTGGACTGCCACAAGCCCTGGGCCCCCAGCACGGAGGAAGGGGACACGGGTCGCCAATGTTGGCCAGGCATGGGGTGGCCCCCGCAGCTGGAGGGCCTCGTGTTGCTGCTGCTCCTAGCTGGGCAAGTTGCTCAATTGCACTGAGCCTGTTTTCCCATTTGTAAAATGGCCATAAGAATACTCCCATCTTGGCTGGGCGTGGTGGCACACCTGTAATCCCAGCACTTTGGGAGGCTGAGGCGGGCAGATCACCTGAGGTCAGGAGTTCGAGACCAGCCTGGCCAACATGGCGAAACCACATCTCTACTAAAAATACAAAAATTAGCTGGGTGTGTTGGCGGGCACCTGTAATCCTAGCTACTCAGGAGGCTGAGGCAGGAGAATCGCTTGGACCCAGGAGGTGGAGGTTGCAGTGAGCTGAGATCGCACCATTGCACTCCAGCCTGGGCAACAGAGCAAGACTCTGTCTCAAAAAAAATAAAACAACAACAAAAAAATAATAAAAATAAAAACTCCCCCATCTCAGAGCTGGCTGTGAAGACGGGAGATCTCGCGCACTGACGGCAGGCGACGCAGCCCGCATATAGCAAGTGTGCAACTGACAGCTGCAGGCCAGATGGCATCCCGGGCTCCGTGGGTGACCCTAGGAGGATGGGGCAGGGGAGACTGGCCCTCTCTGCTCACCTGGGTCTCAGAGGTGTGCCTCGCCTCCTCTCTCCAGCAAAAGGCTCTTCCCCGACCAAACCCCATCCCCTGCTGCTGGGCTGCTGCTGGGTGTGCTCCAGGACCTTGTCCTTGGCATTGGTGCGGCTTTTCAGGCTCCTTGGAAGCAGCCCCGCCTTGGAAGCAGCCCAGACACCCAACTCCAGGCCTCTGTACCTGCCCCTCCCTTTTCCTGAGTTGCCCTCCCCTCTGCCTTCAAGATCCAGCTCAAAGGCCACTCCTCTGAGAAGCCTTCCCTGATTGACCCTCCTGGGGCTGGTCTCATCTGCTCATTTCCTGGCCTTTCTGCCCTCTGGTCATGGTAACCGTCTCTTCTCCTGGAAGGCAGGGTCTTGGAGCTGGTTCACCACAGCCCGGGTGTCTGACATGGCAAAGGCCGAGCGGAGGGCTGCACTCACCAAGCATCTGCAGCGCCAGAATGGCGCGGCGCTATCTCCCTTCTCCGGGGCTGGGAAGCGAGATTCTAAAGGCAAGGCTCACTCTGGAGACACAGCTTCTCTCCCCAAGACTACCCCACCGGATGCCCCAAGTCCCTAGTTCTGGTTTTCCAGAGCTAGGGTTGGGTGTGTGGGGTGAGATCAGGCCGGCAAGGTGGGTAGCTGGCGCCTCTGTGCTCCAAGTACCTGAGGGTCATGACCCCCAGCAAAGTGGAATCAGACAGGGTCTGGAGCCAGGCGTGGTGGTGAGCATCTGTAGTCCCAGCTCCTTGGGAGGCTGAGCGGGAGGATTCCTGGAACCCAGGAGTTCGAGGCTGCAGTGAGCTATGATCGCACCACTGTACTCCAGCCTGGGCTAAAAAAAATTTAAAAATAAAAAAACAGGGTCTGGAAAACACTGAGTTTGGGGGTCCAGGAAGCACTCAGGGCTCAGCCCTGCCTTCCTCTCCACCCTCCCACCTTGCTTCTGTACCCGCCACTTCTTCCTCCTGCCTTCAATCCTATCTTTCCCTTTGATATCTCCCGCTCATCCTTCTGACCTGTCACCTTCTCCAGGAGGCTCTCCCTGATCTCCAAGGAGATCTGGTTGCTCCTCTTCTCCAACTAAAAGTCCTCAAAACTAACCTTTATTGAGCCCTTACTATGCGCCACGTTTGGGGCTAAGCTGCATAATGTCAGCATCTTATGTAATCCTTGAAGGGACATAGGAAGTGGTAGTACTGTCCATTTCACAGATGAGATAAGCTAGGCACCGAGGAGCTGCAACGCACAACCCAGATCCGACAGAAACTTCACCACTCTGCTGCTTCCTGCGCACCGAGGGGCAGGCTCCCCGTGGGGAGTCTCTCTCCCTGCTGCGTCCCCACAGTGAGGTGTGGAGCCTGTCAGAAGAGGGCACAGACAAGCAGGCTAAAGAAACCAGAGGCCCCAGGAGGCTGGGCCAGGGCTACAGACAGATGTGCTCCCCTCTGCTTGGCTCATCCTGGATCCCCATCCACATCCACCACTGGTCCCCAAAGCAGCCCCGATCCCTCAGCACCTTGGGGAAGGAGCAACAGAAGCAGGTCTCGCGGGGAGGTACCGTTTCCTCGGTTGTCTTTTTTATTTTTTTGAGATGGTGTCTCACTCTGTCACCCAGGCTGGAGTGCAGTGACACGATCTCAGCTCACTGCAACCCCTGTCTCCCGGGTTCAAACAATTCTCCTGCCTCAGCCTCCCAAGAAGCTGGCACTCCCAGGTGCCACCACACCTGGCTAATTTTTGTATTTTTGGTAGAGACGGGGTTTCACCATGTTGGCCAGGCTGGTCTCGAACTCCGGACGTCAAGTGATCCACCCGCTTCCGCCTCCCAAAGTTCTGGGATGACAGGTGTGAGCCACCACACCCGGCCTGTTTACTCGGTTGTCTGGGGTTGACAGGACAGTCCTGAGTCCCGCAGGCTGCAGCTGTGGCCCCTGGGGTGAGTAGGCAGAATGAGGTAGGTGGTAGGAGGGGCAGCCTGTCTCCTGAGAGGTGGGGTCTCCGCTCCAGTCCCGGCCTCGAGGCTTCAGGGTCTACCTGAAGGTGTGTTCCCAGAGGGGACGGTTCGGTCCATGGGGGATCCAGAGGCCGCCCACACACTGATGCAGAGCTGCAGCACCATCACTGCCCACACCTCCCCCTGCCTGGTGTGGCTTCCGGTGGTCCCCGTCCTCCTGCGCTCAGCCGGCCTCGGTCAGCTGGGGAGGAGGAGGGGCTCAAGCTCCGAGGCGGCGGCGCTGCGCCTGTACACCAGGAACTGGATGGAGATCTGGGGGTGCCGCGGTTAAGGCCAAGCTGAGCAGACTGGGTTGGACCCGGCCCTGGGGGCCTTCCACTCCCGGAAGCTGCCTCCCCCTCCCCTCCCTCCCACCCCCACGCTGCAGCTGGGAAGGGCCAGCCATACCCTCCTGGCCTCTACCTTAGCTGTGCCCTCCATTCGGAATGCCTGTCCGGCTGCTCAAGCCCTAGCCAAGCTCCATTTGTCTCCAAGACCGGCACTGACTTCTCCCTCCCTTGACTCTGGCCCAGGATCTTCTCTTCCTCTCACCCTGTGACATCCTGGAGCTTGCCAGGTGGCTGGGCCATTTTGGGGGCACAAGAGCCTACACTTTCACTTCTCCCTGCACCCAGCAGGGACTTAGCAAATATTAAAACCAAGGCCATGTTTACTTTCTCCCAAATGAGACCCAGATAACGCTCTGTCCAGCCATTCAGCAAACACGTTCTGAGCCCTCATTGATCACGGGGTTCTGTTTCCAGCTACCTCGTCTTACACAATATCCGGACGAGACAGCAGCTGTTAACTGAGGTGAAGACAGCAGCACAGAGAGGCTGACCCTGTGCCCTGCATCACACAGCAGGAAGCAGGGGAGGAGCCAGGATTTGAACCCAGGTTTGTCTGCCCAACTCATGTGTGTCTCCACACTCCAGCTGTCATTCGCACAGCCTGGAACATTCCTCTCCTGCCTTCACCTGACTAATTTCTTCTCTGTCAGGTCACAGCTTCAATGAGACTTACAGGGGCCTTTGCTGCCACTTTAACCAGGACAGCCCCTGGACAGCCCCTGGCTAGACGCTTTGTTTTTCTCTGCAGTACCTGGTGCCACTTAATTCTTTGATGATAACGTTGTGTCCTCCCTCCCCCCACGAACTGTAAGCTTCTAAGGCACTCATGGCTGTTCTTGCTCACTCATGGCTCCAGGGTCCAGCTGGGTGCCCAGCACGCAGGTGTGCACAACTGGGTGAACGGATGGAGGGAGGGAGGGAGAGAGGGATGGCTGGACGGATGAAGGGAGGGATGGACGGATGAAGGGAGGGACGGACGGATGAAGGGAGGGACGGACGGATGAAGGGAGGGACGGACGGATGAAGGGAGGGACAGATGGATGAAGGGAGGGAGGGGAAGACGGATGAGGGGAGGGACAGACGGATGAAGGGAGGGACAGATGGATGGAGGGAGGGAGAGACGGATGAAGGGAGGGACGGATGGATGGAGGGAGGGATGGATGGATGGAGGGAGGGAGAGATGGATGTAGGGAGGGACGGATGGAGGGAGGGACGGATGGATGGAGGGAGGGAGAGACGGATGAAGGGAGGGACGGACGGGTGGAGGGAGGGACGGACGGAGGGAGGGACGGACGGACGGAGGGAGGGATGGACGGACGGAGGGAGGGACGGATGGATGAAGGGAGGGAGGGATGGATGGATGGAGGGACGGATGGATGGAGGGAGGGACGGATGGATGGAGGGAGGGAGGAGGATGGATGGAGGAGGGGAGGGAGACGGATGGATGGAGGGAGGGGAGGGAGGATGGATGGAGGGAGGGAGAGATGGATGGAGGGAGGGACGGATGGATGGAGGGAGGGACGGATGGATGGAGGGAGGGAGGGACGGATGGATGAAGGGAGGGATGGAGGGAGGGAGGGATGGATGGAGGGAGGGACGGATGGATGGAGGGAGGGACGGATGGATGGAGGGAGGGACGGATGGATGGAGGGAGGGACGGATGGATGGATGAAGGGACGGATGGATGGAGGGAGGGACGGATGGATGGATGAAGGGAGGGATGGACGGAGGGAGGGACGGATGGATGAAGGGAGGGAGGGATGGATGGATGGAGGGACGGATGGATGGAGGGAGGGAGGGATGGATGGAGGGAGGGACGGACGGAGGGAGGGATGGATGGACGGAGGGAGGGAGGGAGAGACGGGTGAGTGCTGAAGCTGTGCGCAGGCAGGGGCTCCCTTGCCCACACCCCCACCACCAGCCCCACACGCCCTGAAGGATACGATGGTGTCGAGCAGCAGCACGCCCAGGCTGCCTACAAGCCAGGGCAGGTGGTGCAGCAGGTAGCTGCCCTCGCTCTGGCCCTCCTCGGGGTTTTTGAGCAGCACGCTCAGCCCATACAGCGTGTTCCCCAGCATCACCAGTGCAAACAGCGAGTAGGAGATCCCCTGGGTGGACTTCCGGAGGAACTGAGGCAGAAGGAGTTTGGGTCAGAGATCTCGAACAGGCCTCCTGTCACTCTGGATTGTAACTGTCCACATGTCCACCTGCCCCACCACAGTGCACCTGCCCTGAGCTCCTCTCTCCCTGGGTGCCCAGTATCTGACATGGGCCCCACACACAGAAGAGCCTCCTCTCACCCACAGACAAGCCCTCTCAGGCCCCTGCCCGGGTCCACAGGAGACCGTGGCTGTGCCAGGCCTGCTGGCCCCATGCCACCCTGCATTCCACCCCACACAGGCTCTAGCTGCCCAGCAAGCCTCCCCTCCCCGACTCCCCAGCTTCTCCTCTCCCCTCAGGCCTCCAAGCTCAGCCCCTCACCTTCCCCTGAACTCCTACTCCTCCAAGACACACATGGGTCTCCTGCAGCCTGGCTGGCAGGCCACATCGCGCCTGTTTTCCAGAAGCAGAAATGGAAGCTCAGAGACTGGATTAACTTGCCCAAGCCAACAGTGGGAGCAGCCCAGACTTTCTGAACCAAGGCTCCTATGCCGTGCTACTCCTTAGCCCAGAGGGCCCGGGTGGCCAGGCCGGCTCTCCTCTACTTGGCCCCACCCAGCCCCTGCTGGAGGCTCACGTTGGTGCGGATCTGAGGCAGCCGGGAGAGCAGGTACAACACACTGGAGACGGAGCCGATGACGAAGCCGATGATTTCCTGCCGGGTGAAGGGCTGTGGGGCAGAAGGGGGCACTTGGTACCTTGTAGGAGCCAGAGGTGATCCCCCTCCCCACTTAGCGCCCACGAGGCTGTGCAGGGGAGAGCCCTGGGGACAAGCTAGCCTCCATCCCTTCTACCGCCACACCCACGGCTCACCTTGCTGCCCGGCTCCACGGACAGGAGCGCCCGTCCCCGGAAGCCTTCCCTCGGGGCAGCCACGGGCCCAGCAGCGCTCAGCAGCGGTGTGGCGCACGCCGTCCCCATGAGGAATAGCAGCATGGAGTTGATGGGGGCAGACACTGCACACGAGGCAGGAGGGAAGCTGAGGTTAGATGGCTGAGTGGCAGCGGGGGGAGGCTGAGTCCTGGCCTTGCCCCTCAGGGGCTGTGTGACCTTGGGCAAGTGACCTAACCTCTCTGAGCTTTAATTCTTCATCTGTTGAATGGGTACAACGGTACCCTTCTCCTAGAGTTATAAAGGTGAAACGCTGAGGGCAGGGAGGTCAGGAGGGGTTATACGAAGCAGAAATGCTGAAGAAAAACAGTCCTTCCCAGGTCCCTCCCCATGTCCGTATGGCCTCAAGCTGACCTTGTCTCCTGCTCCTCCTGAAGGCCGGGGCAGAGGCAGCCTGTGTGACTTGTCCTCGTTTCCCCAGCTCCAAGCCCAGGGCTGGACACAGAGGAGGAGCTGGAGCTGTGCCTGCTGAACGGGCCCCTGGGCGAGAGGAACCAGCCTGTGGTCTGGGCCAGGATACGCTCACTGCCCTCAAGTCTCTATCTTGGCCGATTAAGGCTCAGGCTCTTAGATAAGGCCCGGGGAAGCCTTTCCGAGGTTCGGGTTATCACCCAGCCATGGGAAACCCGCTTCCTCCCACACTCCAGGCGCCCCCGTCGCCCACAGCCCCCCGCTGCTGGTGGAGCATCTGACAGAGAGCAGTCCCCATACTCACAGGGAGAGGGGCGTTTCCTGAACTTGTAGTAAAAGTACAGCGTCAGCATCACCAGGTCTGCCATGACGTAATACACAGCTGTGTAGGACTGTAAGAGACGCAGGGGGCCCGGGGGTTGGTGCGGTGCCAGGATCTGGGACCACGCCCCGGCAGCCCTCTGTCATATCCCAGCTGGGTGACCCTGACCGAGTCACTTCGCCTCTCTGAGCTTCTGTTTCCTTATCTGGCAAGGAAGAGCTCACAGTTCCCACCTGGCAATGACCGAACAGGTGGGCAAAAGACCCAGGAAAGGATCTAGCCCAGGAAGTGCCAATGAGCTGGTGGTCAGTGCCAGCAGTCAGGACAAAGCGGGACTCCGCGGTGAAGAGATGGCTCTGGTTTCGCCTGACGCCGGGGCAGTCAGAACTTTCTGGTCCCACGTGGGAAGACAATGCCTTCCTGATTGGGAGCCCCAGCTCTGCGTGCCCACAGGAGCGGGATGGCACCCAGGCCTCCCACGGAAAAACGCCTTTCCTCCTCGAGGGCCCACCCTCTGGAAGCTTCGCCAGCATTCCAGCACCCTGGAGGTGGAAGAGCGGAAACCCTGTCAGACACGCTCATACTGCAGATGGGAAAACTGGGGCCCAGAGAAGAGCAGTGGCCTGTCCACAGCCACAGTTCGGCAGACAGAAGGATGGGCCCTCACAAGATGCAACGATGGGTCAGGGTTCTGAAGACCAGGCGGGCCAAAGAGCCTGGCATCTCCTCAGGCAACCCTGCAGGGTGAGGCAGGGTTAGGGTCAGCGCCACCCTGCCCGGGTACCGGCCCACCTGCAGGGGCAGCTGGTCAGCAAGGAAGGAGCCGATGAGGTTGTAGGAGTCTCCGCCGATCCAGCCCAGGAGGAACCACAGGGACAGTGCCTGGTCCATGTTGCCCGTCTTGTAGGCTTTGATGAACTGGCTGTGGAAGAGGAAGAGGAGGGGACGCATGTTCGGGCCACCTTACAGGGAATGCCGCCTTACAGGGGACACCGCCCAGAGATGACCACAGGGGAGTGAGGCGGTAATGGAGAGGAGATGGCCTGGGGGCCCACCTTCCCCATGGGCAGGATCCTCAGGAGCCTTCTCGGCTCTTTGGAGGAGTCTCCCGGGGAATCCCTGCTAAGCCAAGGGCTCTACGGCTATGCCTCTCTCCAGGGAAAGCCCCAGCCTTACTCAGATTCTCCTCCACCACACCCTGGGGTCTCCAGTGGGGATCTGGGGCTTATGTAGGGTCCTGAAGTTTTGTGTTGGGCCCTGAGAACCGCTGCATAGAACCCTGGATCCTTTCTCCTATGGATGCAGGGAGGGGCACCGCAACAAGAACGGTGCTGGGGAAGGGACACAGGGACCGAAGGCCTGGGCACGCCGGGTCTCCAGGAGCAGCTGCAGGCAAGACAGGCAGAACCCCGGCCTGGTTCTCTTTAGAGGGCAACAGAGAAGGGCGGGGCTGAGGTGCCTGGGGCTCCACTATCAAGATGGTAGGCTTTTGGTCCCCTGGCTGTTTTCCCAAAGGTCCCCGGTGCTGGGACCCTCTTAGGACTTCTGGTCAGGTGCGGGTTTGAAGCCAAAGCTGGTGGTGGCACTGAGGCCCAGGGCAGTTCTGAGCCCTCTGTATGTGTGTTGACTCATTCTGTCCTCAAGACACCTGTGCTGTCCAGTCTACCACGATGACCTCCTCACTGGGCCTGGAGGAAGCTGTGCCATACGGCTCGGATTCAACCCCTACCTGAGCCTCCGGTCTTGCTCTTAACCATTATACATACTGCCATTTACTGTTCCAGTTTCTTTTTAACCACCTGCATGGATGAAGGAAAATAGACAGACAGAAAGAAACTAAATGGTGGCCAGACATGGTGGCTCACACCTGCAATCCCAACACTTTGGGAGGTCGAGGCAGGTGAATCACTTGAGGACAGAAGTTTGAGACCAGCCCGGCCAACTTGGTGAATCTCTACCAAAATAAAAAAATCAGCCAGGCATGGTGGTGCACACCTGTAATCCCAGCTATTCAGGAAGCTAAGGGATGAGAATTGCTTGAACCCAGGAGGTGGAGGTTGCAGTAAGCTGAGATCACACTACTGCCCTTCAGCCTGGGCAACACAGTAAGACCCTGTCTCAAAAAAGAAAATAAAAAGAAACAAAGAAACTAACTAAATGGCAGCTCATCCCATCCATGATCCAAGCCAGAAACTAAGAAACGGGCATTGGCTGGGTTCTTCCCACAGCCAATCCTTCCATCCGCCTCCCTCAGCCTCCTAACAAGCCTCCCTCCTTTCAGATGAATCCTCCCTTTCAGAAATCTTTCTAAAACCCCCATCTCAGCCAGGAGCAGTGGCTCATGCCTATAATCCCAACACTTTGGAGGCTGGGCGTGGTAGCTCACACCTGTAATCCCAGCACTTCAGGAGGCTGAGGAAAGAGAATCACTTGAGCCTAGAAGTTCCAGACCAGCCTGGGCAACACAGCAAGACCCCGCCTCTACCAAAAAAAAAAAAAAAATTAGCCAAGTGTGGAGTGGGGACCTGTGGTCCCAGCTACTCAGGAGGCTGAGGTGGAAGGATCACTTGAGCCCAAGAGGTTGAGGCTGCAGTGAGCTAGGACTGCACCACTGCACCCCAGCCTGGAAGTGAGACCTTGTCTCAGAAAAAAAAATTGTCTTTAATAACAAATAAAAAAACTAAAATCCCAGTGTCACCAAAAACTGTCAGAGTCTTCCAGTGCTCTTCGACAAGGACCCCCATTCTGAGAGGGGGCCCTTGCAAGGCCCCAGGCTCGTCGCCCCAGGATGCCTGTTTTCCTCCCAGCTCTGGTCTCATATGTCCCGCCCACCCCTCCTCAGGCCCAGAGGCCTCGGAGTCACCTTTCCCATCTCAGGAAATGTCGGTTCCTCCTCTGGGCCTCCCCTGACACGAGCTCCACTGGCATCTTCTCCTTCCTCCTTTGTAACACTTGACATCCCCGTCCCTCCCAGATTCACTCAAATTTCCTGAGGACAGGGGGAGTGACGAGCATAGGCCCAGCACTGAGAAGGCCCTGAACCAAGGTTTATCCCATGGCCCTTACAGTAAAGCTCCTCCTAAGATGCTATGACTCAACTTGCCTTCATCAATTGCAGCAAAGTGATTCTGTCCCACTCAGGAGAGATGGAGTCCTAGGGAAGACCAAGGGCGCAGCCACCCTCCCTCCATCACTTAGGGCTCTCTCCCAGGCCTCCAATCCCCTCCCTGGTTAATCAACCAGCCCAGGCAGAAAGGGGGAGCCTCAGCCAGCTCCTCGGAGAGTCCTGAGGAAGCTCTCACCCCTGGACAGGGAGCCTCCCACCCTTGGCCCCATCAGTCACCTACACCTGTCCAGACTGCCTGGTAAGGGCCTCTCCAATCCCCTCACCATTGATGCTTTCTGAAGGCTTCCACAGCCTCCAAGGCAGCCTCCCTGCCTCCACTCTCTCTCTGTCACTCTGCTCCTTCCTCCCCATCACTCACAGATTATCTTTTCAAGGGTACCAGAATGGAAGCTCTCCAAAGGCAAGGACAATGTCTGTTTGGCTTACCTGTCCCACATCCAACATGGCACCTGGAACAAGGTAACTCAGTAAAAATGTCAAGCCTCTGAGAGGGTGCCCGGAGAAATCAATGGGGAAGGACAGTCTTTTCAATACCTGGCACTGGGACAACCGGATATCCACATGTGCGGTGGCTCATGCCTGTAATCCCAGCACTCTTGGAGGATGAGGCAGGTAGACCACTAGTCAGGAGTTCGAGACCAGCCTAGCCAACATGGTGAAACCATCTACTAAAAATGCAATAATTTGCCAGGCATGGTGGCACATGCTTGTAATCTCAGCTACTCAGGAGGCTGAGGTAGGAGAATCACTTGAGCCCAAGAGGCGGAGGTTGCAGTGAGCCGAGACTGCACCACTGCACTCCAGCCTGAACAACAGAGCAAGACTCTGTCTCAAAAAAAAAAAAAAAAAAAAAAAAGAGAGACTGAACTCCTACTTCACATCATTTACAAAATACAACACAAAATGGATCAAACACCTAAATGTAAGAGTTACATCTATAAAACTCTTAGAACAAGAGATGCTGGGCACGATGGCTCATGCCTTTAACCCCAACACTTTGGAGGCCGAGACAGGAGGATAGCTTAAAGCTAGGAGTTTGAGACCAGCCTGGACAACACAGTGAGACCTTGTCTCTACCAAAAAAAAAAAAAATTCAATTTTTTCACAGTAGCGTGATCTTGGCTCATTGCAGCCTCCGCCTGGTGGGCTCAAGCAATTCCCCCGCTTCAGCCTCCCGAGTAGCTGGGACCACAGGCATGCGCCACCACATCTGGCTAATTTTGTATTTTTAGTAGAGATGGGGGTTTCACCATCTTGGCCAGGCTGGTCTTGAACTCCTGACCTCAGGCAATCTGCCCGCCTCGGCCTCCCAAAGTGCTAGGATTATAGGCGTGAGCCACTGCACCCGACAAAAAAAAAATCATGGGGAGGCCGAGACGGGCAGATCACAAGGTCAGGAGATCGAGACCATCCTGGCTAACATGGTGAAACCTCGTCTCTACTAAACAAATACAAAAAACTGGCCGGGCGTGGTGGCGGGCGCCTGTAGTCCCAGCTACTCGGGAGGCTGAGGCAGGAGAATGGCGTAAACCTGGGAGGCGGAGCTTGCAGTGAGCTGAGATATGGCCACTGCACTCCAGCCTGGGAGACAGAGGGAGACTCTGTCTCAAAACAAAACAAAACAAAATACATGAATGTGCATAGCAACATTAATCGTAATAGCTACAAAGTAGAAACAACCCAATGTCCAATGGGTAAGAAAATGTGGCATACACAGAGTGAAACAGTATCCGCCACAAAAAGGACTGAAGTACTGCTTTGATACATTCTATGACACGGATGAATCTTGAAGACATTATGTTAAGTGAAAGAAGCCAATCACTAAAGGTCTTGTGTGATTCCATTTATAGGAACCATGAAATGTCCAGAAGAGGCAAATCGACAGAGACAGAAAGTAGACTAGTGACTGGCAGGGACTGAGAGGGTCCGGGAGGAATGAAGAATGACTGCTGATGGGCATGGCTCTCCATTCCGGCTAACGAAAATGTCCTAAAATTAGTTGGGGTGCCAGTTACACAACTCTGTGGCTATACTAAAATAACTTGTACATTGAATGGGTTAATTGCATGAAATGTGAATTATCTCCCAATAAAGCTGTGAAAACAATGTCAAGCCCCTGATCAAACCCTTGTCTTTATCCCTCAGGATAAAGAGCACATTTCTTTTTTTTTTTTTTTTTTTTTGAGACGGAGTCTCGCTCTGTAGCCCGGGCTGGAGTGCAGTGGCCGGATCTCAGCTCACTGCAAGCTCCGCCTCCCGGGTTTACGCCATTCTCCTGCCTCAGCCTCCCGAGTAGCTGGGACTACAGGCGCCCGCCACCTCGCCCGGCTAGTTTTTTGTATTTTTTAGTAGAGATGGGGTTTCACGGTGTTCGCCAGGATGGTCTTGATCTCCTGACCTCGTGATCCGCCCATCTCGGCCTCCCAAAGTGCTGGGATTACAGGCTTGAGCCACCGCGCCCGGCCAAGAGCACATTTCTTAACAGCACAGCATGCCCCTTAGGCCATAGGGCCTATGATGACTCCTGTGACCTCACCTCTCCCTGCCCTGACCCCCACACACTCTGTCTGCCATATAAACGCAGCCGCCCCTTCTCTGTACATCTGTTGCTTCCTCTGCCTGAACTGCTCTTCCACACCCAGCCCCTGGCTCTCACCCCTCAATGCTGTCCTATCCTCGGCTTTTAGCCTAGATGCCAACACCTCCAGCTCCCTTCTTTTTTTTAATTTTAATTTAATTTAATTTTTTTGGTAGAGATAGGGTCTCACTATGTTGGCCAGGCTGGTCTTGAACTTCCGACCTCAAGTGATCCTCCTGCCTCAGCCTCCCAAAGTGCTAGGATTACAGGCGTGAGCCACTGTGCCTGGCCTCCAGGTCCTTCCTGACTGCAATTTTCTTCCACCTCTGCAGATCGGGGTGGGTGTCCCTTTTCTGTGCTTCACGTAATAATAGCAGTGTCACCACTGACAGCTTTCAGGCTTGTGCAAACATTGTGTGAAGATCCTGAGTGGGCAGCTCTCCCTACACACCCACATGCCATCTTCATAGCAGTTGTCTCAGGTAACAATATTTCCATGACACAAGCAAGGAAACTGAGGCTCAGAGCAGTGAGGTGACACGCCCAGGTCAGGATGCTCTTGACCCCTGTGCATTGTGTCCTCGCTCCCCAATCACAGCAGCAGCCACGCAATGTTGTGTTCACTGCTGCTATCTCCACCACCTGACCATCAAAGCCTGGAGGACAGAGGCTGTGTTTGATGCGTTCCAGCCCTCCCACTCTCTCGCCCCATCTCTGACCAGCTGTGCCACCTAAAGCAAATTGCTTAACTTCTCTGGGTTTTGGATCCCTCGTCTGTAAAATAGATGGATGGTAACTGCCCCTATTTCACAAGGTTGTTGTGAGGATTAAATGAGGTGGAAATACGGCAAGTGCTTAGAAGCAAGCCAGGTATGTGGCGGGCGCTCAATAAACTGTTGCAAAGGTGATGATCTCTGCATCAGCATCGCCCAGCACAAGGTCTGGCCTGTGGGAGGGACCAGTGCAGGTCCCTCCTGGGTGGGTAGGAAATCAAGGGAGCACACCCAGCCTCCAGTCTGGAGAGGCCTGTGGCCCACCAGGCATGCCCTCTCTGAGCAGTAGCTGGAGCCACTGCCCCAACCCCACAGCCCTGCCCTGGTCCTGCCACCCAGACACTACTCACGGGAAGGTAGACGCAGCAAAGCAGAGAATGGAGATCAAGCCCAGGCCCACACTGGCCTCATCCCAGCCGTCCTGGGCACATTCACCCAGCACATCCCATATCCACTGGATGGAGCCATTAGGGCAGCTGGAGAAGTTGCGGGAGCCCAGTTTCTTCCAGACCATGGCTGTGGAGGAGGGGCGCCCGGCCAGGCGGGTCTGCACGGGAGGGAGGGTGCTGGTGTTCCGAGGCCGGCAAGGCTTCTACAGGGAGGAAGAGAGGAGGCTTTCAGCGCTGGGAGGTCCAGGTCCTATTCATGGTCATCCCAAACGAAGCTCATCCCAGCCTTTTCACCGGGTGCCTCGCCCGGAACCAGAGAAGGGCAAAGACATAATCCTCACCCACCAGGACCCGATCAGCCCCCAGGTACACAGATCACAGCAAACACATGCCAGCTACAGCCGCATGCAGGCAGCGCACTGGATCTGCAGAAGGGACGGGCGTGTTCAAACCCCTGCTTCACCACGCATTCATGCTGGACTTTGGGCAAAGACTCAGCGTTTCTGTGCCTGAGCCCTCTCATCTGTAACCAGGGTCCTCACAGCGCTCCTCCCACATACGGATGTTGTGTGGGTTCAATGAGTTCATACACAGTGTGATGAACGGAGCCCTCCATGTTATCTTTTCCTATGACTCTTGAATGCTTAGGTTGGTCCTAATTTATTGTTATTATCGTAAATTACTCTGTAAGGATCTGCTGAGGCCAGGCCCATCAAGTTCATCTAATTTACAGCAGGTTGCAGCCAGGAGCGATGGCTCATGCCTGTAATCCCCACACTTTGGGAGACCAAGGCGGGAGGACAGCTTGAGCCCAGGAGACGGAGACCAGCCTGGCGGTCTGGGCAACATAACAAGACCCTATCTCTAAAAAAAAAAAAAAAAAAAAAATACAAAAATTAGCCAAACAAGGTGGTGTGCGCCTCAGGTCCTAGCTACTCATGAGGCTGAGGTGGGAGATCACTTGAGCCTAGGAGGTAGACGCTATAGAGAGCCACGATCTCACCAATGTACTCCAGCCTGGATGACAGAGCAAGATCCTGTGTCGAAACAACAATAACAAAAGATAAGGGCTACGCACTGCGCCAGCACTCTAGGAGGCTGAGGCGGGAAAGATCACTTCAGCCCAGGAGTTCGAGAACAGCCTGGGCAATGCTGTCTCTACAACAATATTCAAAAATTAGCCAGGTGTGGAGGCACACGCTTGTAGTCCCAGCTAGCTACTCAGGAGGCTAAGGTGGAGGAATCGCTTGAGCCCAGGAGGTGGAGGGTGCACAGCAAGCCATGATTGTGCCACTGCACTCCAGCCTGGGCGACAGAGCCGGACTCTGTCTTAAAAGAAAAACACACACACACACACACACAAACCATAAAGCAGGTTGCCCCACACAGATGAGGCAAGTGGAGAAGAGGAGCAAGGGATCCCCGGGTTTGCCTGAGTGACAAGGACTCAAGTCTGGGACACTGCAGCCTGTATTCTCCCAGGAGCTCACAGAGTGTGGCGGACGCCTACCAGCAGGGAGTCCACAGCCACCTCCTCACTGTCACACTGACAAAGCCAGAATATGGCTGATCACAGAGGTGGGCAGGGCAGGCCTCTCCCGGTACCCGGGCATCCTGGACAGTGCGTAGGGCAGTCATTGCCTGCGTGACACCTTAGAGGAGGGAGGGAAAGTGAGGCTCGGCTGGGCCATCTCTATCAGCGATCGTCACCACAGCTCGGACCAGCGAGCCAAGCCTCCTGCATGCACTCATGTTTCATCTTCACAGCAACTATGAAGTGGGGACCACTGATATCCACAAGGAGCCTGAGCCAGAGTGCGGAAGTGATATGCCAAGGCCACCCAGCCAGGAAGCTACAGAGTCAAACCCAAGACTCAGACCGACACCCCTGCTCATGGCCACCTGCCACACCGCCCGCCTCAGGTGCATCTGTCACCACCAAAGCAGAAGCCTTTTGTGGCTGCCTAGCAAGCAGATGGAGAGAGAGAGAGAGATAGAGAGAGAGAGAGAGAGAGAGAGAGAGAGAGAGAGAGAGAGAAAGAGAGAGAGAGAGAAGCCTCTGTGGTCTGGCAGGACGGCACAGCCACAACGTGGGCTTCCCCTCTTCTCCCTGTATTCAGAGGGGATTTCCTCACGCAGGCGGCGGCTGTCTCTAGCTGCCTTCATTCCCACTTGTGTCAGGAGGCCTGGACTCCCCAGCTAGTCCCTGGCTGGCCCCACGGAACTGCTGAGGACAGAGACCAGGGAGCACCAGGAGGGAAAGGAAGTGAGTCAGCACCTCCTCTCAGGAAGCCGCAGACCCTCAGCCCTAATGTGACTCGCTATGGGCAGAGGCCCTAGACCTGAAGGTAAGGGCGCCCCGGGTCACTGGACTACCTCCAGGGCCTGGCACAGGCAGGGAGGCTGAAAGCCTCTTCATTGTGTCTTCGTGGCCCACCTGGGGGACCATCAGCACAGCTGATGTTAGAAGCCTTCACCTGATGCCCCGTCTCCAGCCCCTGAAAGGCCACTCCAAATTAGCATAGAGTCCAGGTGTGGCCGGGCGCAGTGGCTCACACCTGTAATTCCAGCAGTTTGGGAGGCTGAGGCAGTTGGATCACTCGAGCTCAGGAGCTGGAAAACAACCTGGCCAACATGGTGAAACCCCATCTCTATCAAAAATACAAAAATTAGCTGCGCGTGGTGGTGCGTGCCTGTAATCCCAGCTACCCGGGAGGCTGGGGCAGTAGAATCACTTGAACTCAGGAGGCAGAGGTTGCAGTGAGCCAAGATCGCACCATTGCACTCCAGCCTGGCTGACAGAGCGAGACTCTGTCTCAAAAACAAAACAAAACACAAACAAAAAAACCATATAGTCCAGGTAAGAACTACACGTTTGCAATGCCAAAGGCGTTTCAAATCAAGTCCTCATGTTCTCAGCCACCACTCCCAACTGGGCTGCAACCCCACACCCCCTAGCAGAATCTGAAGACAAGGCTGCAGCTCATCCACTGCCATCCCCACCACTCCCCAGCAAGGTCGGGTATACTGTGCTCATTTGACAGGTGAGGCTGAGCGGCCTTGGAAGTGAGTTAACCGGCCTGAGCCTGTCTATAAAAGGGGGCTAATGACACTCACTCCTTGGGGCAGCTGTCCTGACTAAATGCACATAAAGCTCTCAGCCCCTGTGCCTGATGACACACGGCAGCGACTGTTTTCAGGATGAGAGTCCAGCATCTCAACCACCTTGGGGGCTCTCACTTCCCCCTTTCCCCAGGTTAGGGAGGAAATGAAATGGACACATCTCAGTACGTGTGTTGGGGGGTTGTCTCGAGGAAGGTACCTTGGTTTATGGAGCCTGCAGCCTGTCTCTCACTTCCCTTTCCCCAGGTTAGGGAGGAAATGAAACGGACACATCTCAATATGTGTGTGTTGGGGAATTGTCTTGAGGAAGGTACCTTGGTTTATGGATCCAGGATACTGGGTGGGTGGCCCCCTAACCTCGGACAGGACCCATATGCAATCTGCAACTCAGGACACTTTGAGACACACCTGATCCCCGAACAGAAGGGCCTTGCTCTGAGGGCCATCCTGCGCAGTTCCTGTCACCTAGAAGCCAGGCATGGGCCCACTTCCCGTTCACACAGCACTGAGCAAATGGATGTCCAAGGTTGCAATGGAGCTTGACCTCATCTGTAAGGATGGCAAGGACCCCAGAAGGGGTACCCTGGAATCACCCTCGGAGGGTGCATGTTCAAAATCTGGAGTCAGTGCACCTGGGCTGCGGCTTAGAGATTCTGGGTTTAAGAAGTCCTCCAGCGATTCTGCTCCATCTGGTGCACTTTGAGAAAGGCTGGGTTGGAGATGGCATCTCCTGCCACACCCAAACTCTTCTCCCTGATCCCAAGCTGAGTCAGGGATGCTTTAGGCACATGATCACAGCCGATCATGTTCCACCTTTGTCTGCAGAATCAAGTCCAAATTACCTGAGGCTAGGCCTCAAGTTACTCCAAGAACTGCCCTCCCAACCTTATCTCCTGCCTCCTGACCCATGTCTTCAGTCATTTCAGGTCTCCAGGCTTTTGCACGTGCTATCTCTTCCCCTAGAAGTGTCCTGCTCCCCTTCAAGGGCCTGGTCATGAAAATAAGAAGACTCACTTCTAAATTGCCCTTTCAAAGATGTCCCGTGAGAGCTGGCTGGATTAGGCCTGCCACCTTCCCCTCTCCCCTCCTCCACACACCTGAAGAACGCTACCACCATCCTCTGCGACCAGTGTCCTTGAAACACACTCTCCCGACTCTGGGTTGTGCATTTCTTATTCTCCAGGTCTAAACACACCTAGAGGTTCAGCAAATGTTGAGAGAGAGAGAAAGAGAGAGAGAGAGAGAGAGAGAGAGAGGCAGAGAGAAGGACAGAGTGAAGAAGACAGGAAATAGGGGCGAGGAAAGGAGAAAGGGGGTAAAGAGACAGAAGAGGAAGGAAAGGAGAAAGGAGGAAGAGGGGATAGCTGCGAGCTCGAACAGTCCAGGGTTGAGGAGAAAAGCACTCCGGAACAGACCTGCTCGATGCCTACCAGTCTGGAACTCAAGTGATTTAGCTTTGTAGTGCTCATCTGAAAAGTAGGGGAATAATGCAATACCCACCACCTAGGCTGACTGCAGAGTTAAATGAGACAATCCAGGCCAAGCGATTACAAGGGTGCCTGGCACAGGCACTCAACACCAACAGCCCAAAATGACTATTTGTTCTCGCTGTAGGCCCTCCAGCGTCCAGGCACACAGGTGCCTTCAGTAAGCCTTGATCAGACATGACCTGTGACCCTGGCCCAGGACCTCTCACACTTTCAGACTCAGACTCTCCATGCACACGTTTGGAAACCTACCCTAAGCACGGCGTGGGAGGAGGCAGTGTGGGTACTCGTCCCTGCAGACCTGGGGAGAATGTGGGGGGAGAAGCGTCCTGGCTCGGAGCTACCACCCACTCCAGGCCTCGGCGTCCTCGGCCACAGCTCGCTCCTGGTGACTCAGACCGGTGCGGGCCGCCTGTTTGGAGGGATAATGATAGGAC